GTGTGTGTGTGTGCGCGCATGAGAGGGGGGGCAGGTGGAGGGGGAGGGAGAGGGANGAGAGGGAGAGAGAGAGAGAGAGATAGTGGTGCATCATGGTAATTCAAGAAAATAACAGAGTACACAAAATACAAAAATTAATATTTTGTACATCTGTTTAGCTCTAAAAGTGGCCAGGATCCAGGGTATTGTTATCTTGGCACTTCAGGGTCACATTATTAACATGATGTGAAGAAGACACAGACAAAATGAAAGAGAAAGAATCTGTGGCAGGTCCCAATTATAAAGAAAAATTATGTAGGTTGATTTCATTAATGCAAAAAATTATTACAGCTAAGATGTTTGTTAGAAATACGAGGCTCGTCCACAAAGTAAGTTTCCCTGGGGCCGTTTACAGAAACAAAACATAATTTCATGGAAATATTTATTGCAACAGATACAGCAAGTGTTCAGCTATTTTTCAACATAATCACCACCAGAATTGAGACATATGTCATACCGTGGGACCAACTTTTGAATACCTGTATCATAGAAGTCTGCTGCCTGGGATTGGAACCACTGTGTGAAAACCATCTCCGCCTCTGTGTCATTCTCAAAACGCTGACGCTCGCCGGACAGGAATTTCTTGAGGTGTAGGAAAAGATGGAAATCACTGGGAGCAAGGTCTGGGCTGTAGGGTGAATGATTAAACACCTCCCAGCTGAACTCCTGCCGGAGACTTGCTGTCCTTCGAGCCGTGTGCAGCCTAGCGTAATCGCGCAGGAAGACAATACCGGCACTAAGCATCCTGTGCCGCTTGTTCTGAATGGCCCATCGCAATTTCTGCAGTGTTTCACAGTAACGCTCAGCATTCACCATCTCACCTCTGGTCAGGAAGTCGACGTGGAGAATGCCCCATCTGTCCCAGAATACTGTGCACATCACTTTCCGTGCCGACAACATCTGCTTGAATTTCGTCTTACAGGGAGATCCACTGTGACGGCAATGCATTGACTACTGCTTGGTTTCTGGGGTAATGTGTGCAATCCACGTTTCATCACCTGTGATGATCCGGTCCAGAAACTCGTTGCCGTCATCATGGTACCACTGCAGAAATGTCAATGCTGACTCCATGCGCTTTGTTTTGTGTTCTGGTGTCAGTTGCTTCAGCACCCACCTGGCGCACAATTTCCTGAACAACACGTGCTCCATGACAATTTCATGCAACAAGGAGCGGGAAATCTGTGGGACATGATTGCTGAGTTCCGTAATTGTGATGTGACGATTCTCCATAATGTGTTCCCGCACAAGCTCCACCAGGTCGTCTGTAATGATGGATGGCTGTCCACTGCGCTTCTCATCAGGCACACTTTGTCGACCTGCTGAAAATTGTCTGAACCAGCGACGCACCATCTGCTTGCTCATGACATTAGGCCCATAGACCCGGCACAGCTGACGATGAATTTCGATCGGCGCTACACTCTGTGCATTCAAAAACTTTATCACTGACCACGCTTCACAGTCGGTGGGAGTTGGAATAAGAGCCTCCATCTTCAACAGCTGCAATGATGCTACTATGGGAACGCGGGAAATTCCATTAGTGCATGTGCCATGCTATGCCATTGCTCTATCACATACGTGCAATATCAGGTTTGCTAGCTGAGGGACGAGTGGGAAACTTACTTTGTGGACGTGCTACGTAAATAAGTTTGAACCTTTCAAATAAACCCTTCATGTTAGGATAATAAGGGCAAAAATAGTTTTTGTGTTTAAAACTACTGGACAAATAAAATAAGAAAAGGTGAAGCCATCCTTGTGCTTAATTAATTAAGCATTATGCCATGAAGTCATATAGCTGAGGGTATAGTCCACATATTCTTGACCTTGACATTAGTCTGGGGTGAGTGGTCAACTTCAGGCCCAGTCACTTCACCACCGGGGAAAGAGCCCCCAGTATACATTCAATAAAAAAGGCTGGGTGGGTAACATGGAGAAGAGAAAAATCTTGCCCCTAACAGAATTTAACTCTGACACCTTAGTTATCCAGCCTGTAGCCAGTCTCTATACTGACCGTGCTACCCTGGCTCTTGGACAAGAATGCACTAGGAAATAATACATACACAGAGGCAAACTTGCTGTACAAGTAGGATAAGACAGGACAGGAGAGGAGGTCATTGCAAATGGTAACAGAAAAGACACAGTGAAGCCAACAACTTGCAAATTTACATTAGGTAACAGAAAGACTTAGCGAAGCCAAACAACTTGCAGATTTACATTATCAAAATTGAAAATATGAAACACAAAGTCTGAACAGAACATCAGATTTTATTGAATAATTTGTAGTTACTAAAAATATTATGGGACATTTAGTAACTCTGTGAATAGCCACGCCATAGCTCAAGCGGTCAGTCGCTGGCTTCCCACGGCAGCGGCCCGGGTTTGATCCCGGGTCTGGTCAAGTGGGATTTGTGGTGGACAAAGTGGCGGGTTTTCTCCGAGTACTTCGGTCTGCCAATCTTCATTCCACCAAATTCTTCATCATCATGATCACCAGGGCAGGCTACAATAGGCCAATCAGTGGCCGCCGTGCTGAGTGGACCCAGTTGGACTCCACCCCCCACTAAGCCGAATTAAAATTAAACACTGTGAATGACACAACTAAGGTATTCATGAAAGCGAAGAAACCCTGCAAGCCATCCACTGCCTTGTATCAGACAAAAATAATTCTTACATGGCTCAAATCTGAATTAAGTGTACAACTTGTAACAAAAACTTCATTAGAGTGAGAAAAATCATCGATCCACAATATTACACATAAAACAAGGGCTCTTTTCTGGCACTTCCATCATCATAAACAATTCCTAGTTACCCATAACTTTCTGCACTGACTATACTTTCAATATGGCTCCTAAAGCTATTTATAACTGATAATCCATAAATGTACTGAACTGTGAGTACTTCAGGTCTGAACAGATAACTTACTTGGCCTTCAAGCAAAGTAGTGCAATGCACAGTGCCATTGTAATATGATCAGAAAACATCAGCTGACTCCTCAAAATGATACACAGTTGCATTAGATCATGTTTAAGGATGACATTCAGCATAACCTTCCATCTACAAGACTTGACCCCCACTCTAGATTTCTTAAAAATTGAAATGCCTATCATGTTAAATCAGATAAGCTGCTCTTCAGTTCTGTTTCATTGTGTTATGTTGCTTGGTTACTGAATAGGAACTGGAAACTATACTGCCATTGTGCTACATACAGCTGCAGTTAAAAAACTGTTCAGTCCCAATTATGACGAGGGGTGTTGCACAGATATGAACACAAAATTTGAGGTAAAATGTTCCTGTGAAGTCAGTAACTCAATAGAGATAGAAATACGAAGACAGTACTGATTTGCCTTTTTTAACACATTTCAGCACTGGAACAGAGCATGTCCAGCCAAGTTCAAAGCCTGGTGAGGCACCCAGAAAACAGAGAAGTATGGTTATCATCAGTTTGAAATTATCTGAAGTAGACATGAATGCACTGTCTTCTGACCAAGATAACAACAAAAAGACTACTCCATATATTCAAAATTAACTTCCAACATAAAAATGTGATTTGTCTTAGACTGGGAGATAGTATATGAGGAAGATGAACATACAGAAAAGACTGTGAGGTGCCTAAATTATATAATTAGATTCAAACTATATAAATTTAATAAATATCTAACAACTCAGAAATGGCAGTGAGTGTTTATAATGAGAAGGGTATAGTCAATATATGTTTCTATATTTTAACAAAATTTGCACTTACAGTACAAATATTTTTAATTGATTTGTATATGACACCTGATCATGGCCATTTAATGTCAAATTATAAATTTAAAAAAGAAAGGTTTTTAACATTAGTTTGTGTGATGGTTAGTCTTACACCTTGAATTTTTGCAGAAATGTAGAATTTTCCTTAAAAAATGAATCACAAAAAGGCAACTATCATCCTTACTGCCCTAGCCAAGGGATTGCTTGCTGCATGAGAATTTAATACAAAACAATTTCACATACTTTTCTAAAAATCCTGTGTGCTGGCAACTCTCCTGTGTCAGGCTACTGAGGACTATGTCTCATAAATCTCCTGGGACTGAGCATAATGCCTGTTGAACACAGGCTATGTGTTCTGGCATTCTGTCTTCTTTTACCACTAACACCCTTACTATTGTACAGGGTGAATCGTATAGAACCGGCCGGAATAATTTGCTAATAATTCTGCAGGTGATGCATATAACCGCTCACAATTACAACATAATAATCCATGGGCAGTGCTGAGTCAAATGGCGTGCACATGATCCGGCAAGCGGCAGCCCTTATGCTGCAAGGTCAAGGACAATGCCGAAACGTGTCTGCAGTGGGCAGGCGACAGTCATGGAGTACACTGTTGAACAGCGAGCGGTTTTAATACCTACTTGAAAATGGCGGACACTTTCAACACCTGCTCTGATCATGGCACACAATCCAAGATAAGATATTTGTAAATTACTTTAATATCTGTATGGTATAATTTATATTACATCTCATTTCATCGGGCCGGTTCTATATGAATCACCCTGTACTACTGCTATTTGTTTCTGTTGCTGCTGTTCTTACTATTGACCGCAACAATCACTACAAACTTGTTAATCAATCCTGCAACTGCAGACCTGTTTGGATCTTTCCCACATTCATTTTCTACTCAAAACTGACAAACTTCAATAGCATTAGCAGTCTGGTAAAACCCTTTCTTTTCAAACACAATGTTCTACAGCACATGCCATCTTGTTCTGCAATGCTTAATGATATCATGAGCAATCACATATACTATGTTGACTGCTGTAACATAGTTAAGTGAATGAATATAATCACAAATAGGAGTATGTTTTTTTGGAAAGATCATGTAACAGAAATATATGAGGGAAAATCTGAATGGACTACTTAAAGTTCAAGCTCCAGGTAAGGTAAAATTAAATCCCCTCCAAAAAAGTTATTAGCTCTAAATTTCTTACCAGCTTTTTGAAGGCTACCAAATCCTCTTCAGTGTTTTTATTCGAAGATGACTGTATTATGTTCTTGTTGTTCTGCTGCACAACATTCAGACCCTGTTGCCTCATTCTAGCTTCCAGTTCCTCCACACTTTGCATCTTCCCAGCAGCTTCTGTTATGGCCAGAATTGCATTCCAATCAACATATTTCAAAATATTGAAATATAAAATAATGAATTAAAGTAACAATATTGATCACATACATGACCTGTCAGTACATATGGATCAGATGGTTACATACTGATTCTCCAGCTTTTGAGTCTTTGCCAAGAGGCTGGATATCCTAGATGAAGTTTCTCTTTGATTTCCTCAATCCCTCATCCTACATATCATTCCATCACCATCTTCATCATTTATTACTGCATTTTATTTTTGTAAAGATACATACAGAATCTATATTCTGTCAATACTGAATACCAGACATAACCTCAAAGCATCAGTATGTTTGTAATAGCTGACCTACAAACTGTACTTCAATTGTAGCATGTAGGCAGACTGCTGGGCAATGACCATGGGATAAGCAAATATACCACAGCCATAACCGAGTAACGGCATAGCAAACAAGCATCTTTCCACTGCAACAACTGAACTACAACAAAATAATAGTGTTTTCTGTGCGGTCCATGCTGAGATGTTATAAGCAGTATCAGTCAGTCAGTGAAGAGTTAGAGGACTGCTACAGTTCAGTCATTGCGAGCTGTTGCTGTTAGAAGCCAGTAGCTGAGGCAGGGAACCGCTCAGAAACCCAGAGCAAGGGGAACATTTGCCACTGGAAGCCGCTACCAAGCAATGGCTAGTCAAGACTGAGAAGACTTCAGTGTGTGCTCTAGTAAACTGTAAAGTGTGTGAATTAGTGAAATGATTATAATTATTTGTAGTCACAGATATGTAAGAGTCCAATAAATCAAATTATTAATCCAAAACCTGTCTACAGCCACATTCAATCGCATGACAATATATATTATGTGAGGCAGTATGATTTACCTTCACACCAAATTTCACATGTATAGTTCCAACAGTTCATCATTATGACCATCAAACTGTAAGCCAAATAAAATGTTCACAGGGCCACCATGTTGTTATTTTATTGTCCACAAATATTACTTTAGTAAAGTCACACAACTTATACAGATCTTTTCCTGTACATTCATTTCAGAACCTTGTATTATATTGTGCCAGTACTGCTCTCACCACATTAAGTTTCCATGTCTGTCATTTGTCATTACTGATTGCAGAAAATTAGCAAGTATCATGTCAGAAAGGTATTCAATGGCATAACATTCACATGGCGTTTCATGAAATGGAGCAAAAAGATAGCATGGTGATCTCTTTATCCTTAAGGAAGAAAAACATGCTTAAAATGTCTTCAACAGTACTATACCCCTCAAATTTATCTCAAATTCTTGTAACTGTTAGTCACATTGGAGGTATACTTTCAAATTCACAATTCCACCATCTTTGCACCTTGGGCACATTCTTCAATTTTCAGGGCCACTTAAAAATTAATTTGCTTTGCTTGAAACTCAAAGAACCCTCAACCATTTTGCATATCTGTAAATCATGGGAAATGATACTGATGTGCAATCTGTTAACGATAGCCCTCACTAGCTTCCTCTTGTACAGTGTTCAACAACATGGTAAATATTTCATATCAACACCTACAGAATAGTTTTGCAACACATTCGTATACCAGCAACTATAAGGCCTAGTTTGTCGTTTATAGGTCTAACCATATGCACATTTTGGTGTACAGATCCATTTCTAGGCAGTGACCCCGAAACAAATGAACAACATTTGCTGCTAGGCAACAAATTTTAATAAGCAAGAATAGACGGCTGCTGCTAAGGAATGGCTCAGTAAACATGTTCCTGCAACAATGAATATGCATGCAACAATAGAGAACTGCTGGAACCCGTAATTTCTACTTGGTCCGTGCAAAGGAGTTATATAACAAGGACACCAGCCTGGGAGTTCAGTTATCAGCTGTTAATGAGTCTGTGAAGAGAAGACTATAAGGTTGGTGTGAGATGGCTACCAGTCTGGGAGTTAGAGAACTGCAGTTCAGTCATTGTGAGCTGTTGCTGTTAGAAGCTGGTAGCTGAGGCACAGGGACAGTTTGTGATCTAGAGTATGGAGAACATCCACTGTCGAAAGCCGTTACCAGGCAAAGGACAGTGAAGATTGTAACAGACTGAGGACACCAGTCTGTATGTCGGTGATCTGTAAAGTATAGCTGCAGTTATGTGTATAAGTGGTCAACGTGAAAATATTTTTCTTCACGGAATGTTAATTTGCAAAGCAAGAAGAAACATGGACCTACTGATAAAGGACGTTACTGAGATCAGGTTTTGGCCCATAAACTTTAACAGTGACAGAGGTTTCGATCTCAGTTGGTCCTGGTGCCCAGTTGACTACATGATAAAGCAATATAGAGATTCACCAACTGGGAGATTAAGATACAACTCAGCTAACTCATGACTAACTCACTAGCCTCACGCTGTTTGCATTCAGATTCAGTGGGATGGCCTGAATATCAAAGTCACATCGTATTCTTATGACAGGGACAGAGATGGTCCCTGAAGCATCAGTTACTTTTAACCAACTGAAATGGTTATTAGCTCAAGAGAATTTCACAAAATCCAGAATGTTATAATTAACAGTATGATGTATTTTGAGTGTTTGTATGTGATTAACAGTTTAACACTCACATAATGGCATGTAAAATGCACATTATGACAGAAATCACTTCTCAAGACAATCCTTCACCACATGGAAACATTAATCTCCTCACAACTATGCTCCCTTCTTTCATGAATATATCCTTGTGTCTAGTAACCAACTCATACTACCTAAGTTGTATAAAATACAATACAGTATTAATTTATAATTTGATGTTTCGCAGATTAAAAATTAACAAAAGTTCAATAATCTAACTCACAGTTATACTGAAGTTTGAGTCTGAACTGTCTGCACACTCCTACAAATAAGCATCAAAATAAATATTTCAACAACAGAAAAAAATGTGAGTAGAAGGAGAATAGTTTAATTTCAGAAATTTTATTGTGCTGATTTTTTCTTATTCATCAGTTCAATTACTAAATATAAAGATAAGAGGCAGCTTAACTGGATGGCATGCATGAACCAGCAGCAGCTTCTTACCTAAGTCCCTGATACTGGGTGCTCTGATAATGGTAGGCAATGTTGCATCACCCTGGGTTGATTGATTCTGACCACCTCTCTGTAACATCTCTAGCAATAATGTAGGCTTCACACATACTGAACCACTACTGCCAGTCCCACCAGTATTACCACCATTTCCAGAGCTCATGACATTGCTGCTTACACTACTACCAACTGCAGACACTGATACTGTAGATGTTGCTGTATTCGCTGCTGGAGAGATTGGGGCGAAGTATGTGTCTGACTCACTCATGGGTGGAATCACAATGTTTGGCTCTGTAATATCTGAAAATCAATCATAAATATCAGTGAAATTTTAGGAAGATTTGGCTAAAATCAAACTAAATACCTATAATAAATGTTCTACACAAATATGAGCCTGGACAGCTATGCTCACATTTACAAATGAATGTTGAACTTCCTAAGAAAATCCAAAATACATATTCAGTTACACAACATACCAGTTTTCCAAGCATAGCCAGCATTCAGATATTGAAGAGGGAGATTATTAATTTTTTGCATCTTTCTAGATGAAGTAACATAGTTCAAAAAGGAATACTGAACAAGCAAAATTTACATCATTTATAGAAATTTACAAACTCTCAAAATTAGCCTTCCTGAAGAATGATACTCATAACTGTATTCAAGTACTGACTTCAAGATCATTTACTCTTACCATTAATAATATTATTAAGCAGTTCATCTTGAAGTGAGGAACGGCGACTTTCAGGCTGATTCACGGGACTGTCTCGTCGAAAAAACTGACAAAATCTGGAACCAGCTGAGCCCTCCATTGCTGTACCATTCTGCAACATATGACATATTGTCTACTTCACTGCAGACGCTTATAGCCATTAGCTAGTCTGCAGTATCATAGGAATTCACTATGTTTTTATCATTTTATAGGTCCTCTACCAACATAATTAATGTCATATTATTACGGCCTTTCTAATTAACTGGTAGGACATGCTTTCCAAAAGGAAGTCACATTTAACTAGATGAGATGAGAGATGTTCTTGAAACATAATCATCACACATAAAACTATAACAATTTTAACTATGGAAGTACTCTTGAAGTGTACGAGTCGTATACCTGTCTGTCAATTCCCTTTCTCAATTACATACATCAGTATTATATATACACAAATTAATTATGTTCATGACACTCAGTAACAACCACACCACAATGGTAAATGCCATGCTAGAGTCAAAGCTTTTGTCAGTAGATGAAGGTATTTTTTTAGGGAATATAATCTGTCTTTTCTGTAGTGCTCTCTCTCTTTCATTCAAATGTGAAGGAATTACAGTTGCAGTTAGCACTAACCCATGAAATCAACACTGCAGTGTGAAATTCTGGCAGCAGCCAGAGTGTCTGAGAGACAAAGCTTCAAAGTGTTTAAATAATAAACCTGCATTCATTCGTATGCCAGGAAAAAATCAGAAAACCAAGGTTTAAATCATAGCTAACAATGATGAAAATAGGAGGTCTCCAATGCCATGTATCAAAAGGGATGCACTGCTGCTAAATCACAAACTTTCAATTCATGGTCATGGAGCACATGGATGAAACTGCTAATTGTACTGTGGTGCAAAAATTCAACACTACTGAAGTAAATTAAAAGAACAATGAAAATATGCCAGTTCCTTAAAAAAAAAAAACACACACTGATAAAAACTGAATGGCCTGACAAAGATATGAAGATTAAGTGTTTTAAGTTTATCGTACAGTTTAATTAGTCATCTACAAAACAAACACAGATGGTGAATCAGTAATAACCAATTACTGTTTTATTTCTCAAAATCTTGACACATTTCAAATCTTCTGGGATATAACATTGCGTAGTCCGTTGAAAGTCAACCGATGTTTCGGACGAACATATCGCTTCCATATTCAGAGCTGAATAAGTGAAGCAAGACAGCAGCATGAAAACAAGTGACACCTGCTTTCATGCTGGTATCTTGCTCCACTTATCTGATCATAGAGATGCAGGATACGTTCCTCCAAAATGTTGATCTTCATTGACTTACATGGTATTATATCCGAGCAGCTAGTACTCTTCGTAATCACTGCTGTGAGAGACTCATATCCTACAGAACATATTTTGATCAAATAATGATCATCATTTGAACATTTAAAAATTAATAAACTGCATACTGTAATTTTATTGTGCTGGAGGTTAGATCCAGTCGCTGATTTATGCAGTATGACTTACTATATCTTTATGCCTCTGCATTAGTAGAATGCATTTATGTTAAAAGCATTCAGGCAACTATTTCACCTCTGCTATCTTTATTTATCTCCAGAATGCAGACCCTTAGTGAAATGAAAACCTGGCCAGTTCTAGTAATGACATATGCCTAATGTGTTTCTTCTGAAAATTTACAAATTTAAGAAGGGGGCTGTCAGAAGAGGGTAAATATGGTATGGTAAAATGACGATTATACAATCTAAACTGAACCAAAGAGAGGTTGGATAACAGAAAATGTCAGATTATATGAATAATATTAAAAACATGCTGCACTCCACATTCTGAAGCAATCATTTGCATGGTTTCCCTACCATCAAGCTTTTCCAAAGCTTCAAGTTCTTGGTCCACTGAAAGAACCACTTCCATCCTTTCTATACATGTTACAATTATTATGTGAAAAAATTGAGATAAACTGAAAGGGTCTGTTATTTCCCCAAGCAACATTAACTGTTAACTGGTACTACAGAAGCCATAGCAAGTTATAATTCTGGGGAAACAGTTTCATGTTATATAATATGGAATTTTAAATTTCCTGTTTCAATAGGTCTATGGCCATATTTTAATGGGGGTGGGGAGTAAACAGCATCAGCAATGTTCAGACAGCTGGACTGCACAATTCACCAACGAATAAATCTGACATGTGACATACACAGTTTCTTTAAAAGAAAAACGAAAGAAAGAAAGAGGGCAAGTGGTGGCCAGCACTGATGGCCACCTATGTATATGCTTATTCAAACACTTTGGGGGTTAAAAACTATTACAAGAAGAAAATAAGTATTAAGAATGAAACTTGTAAAGGATTAAATGGCTAACTGCAGCTGCAAGAACACAACCTACCGTTAACAATGGCAGGGAATCAATTTTAAGAATGTCATCCAGGTCCAGATTGAATTCAGAGTTCTGCAACGTGTGGGATCCATTTTGCTCTGTATTCTCTGGTTCCCAATTCATGGTAGGCTTGCCAGCAGAAGAATCTTCTTCAGATGCCCTGACTGTTAATGTAATATCATTTGCTTTTGATGTTGATATGGGAGAATGGGGGGCAGCAGGTGGATCAGTGATAGCTCCAATAGGTGTCGGAGTACTGCGACCTGTCGGACCTGCTGAGTTGGTCTGCTGTTGCAGCAATGAATCTGAAGACTTACGGTTCAAAGCTGCTGTACGTAAATCTGCAGAGAAGCAAAGATTAAAAAAAATCCATCCAAACATACATATAAAAAGTATAACTAATTAAACTGGCACTGTTAAGTTGTTTCATAGTGCTAATAAACAAAGAACATTCAAATAAGAGGTAAACATGCTGCTTGTGATAATATGGTTACAGTTTCTTGCATGAGTGTACAGAACAGTGTAGACATTTCCCTAAACTCACTCTCTACTTACACAGAACTTCATCATCAACCACTGTGAAAAGAGCCGCATGAAACCTAATTCAGTTCTTTCATACTTACTTGATTTCCCTGCTTTGGACTGGGAAGGGGACTGTTTCTTGGACACACCACGTGCCATTTGCTCTTCAGGAATATCCTCAAAACCTCGGAGTTCAATTGTATCATGCTGTGATGTTGGACCACCTAGAAGAAAACAGATAAATGGATGATTTTAATCTGACGGAGAAGCTACAGTGACATGAAAAAAAAAAAAAACTGAATGGCCTGAAGAAAAAAAGAAATCATGGTATTTTGTTCCAACACCATAGAATTTGTTGATTTTAATGCAGAGCATGACTTGATTGGATGGTTCATTAGTTAGCTAGTTAATGATTGACAAAACAATTTTAACCCACTAACCTGAAAACCATTCTGGCTCCTCCTCTCGACTATCACTGTATGCTCGTCGACGATCAGCATAACGATTTCTTTCAGCACGATCTCGATGACGATCCTTATCTCGGTCACGGTCAAACTCACGACCAAATGACCGACGTTCATACCTAAGCCCACATTAAGGATTGGTTAGTATAGTGGTTTCAAAATAAGCTGGCAGTACATGTTAATCACATGAGACAACAAAATGTAACATTAAATTTGAACTATATGAAAGGCATATTGCAAGATATGACTCATCCTTTGTTCAGGAAAATGAAATGGGTTACAAAAGGGTGGAATAAGGTCTGCTGGCACACCAAAAGGGTAAACTTTGATAATGAACATCTGCAACAGACAGACAGACAGAAAGGAGTTCATAAGCTGAATACAGAGAGTGATAATTCAGCTCATGAGGGAATTTTGGAATAGATGGGGGTACACAAATTGTAAAATGATTTGACAGCTGTAGGGAAAGTGAAGAAACAAGGCCATAACTTTGGTTAGAGATGACAGGAAAGATATGTTGGTCTATTGAGCTCTGGCAAACATATAACTTACCTTTCATCACGATCTCTATCGCGTTCTCGATCTCTGGTGGTGCCACTGCTTCCACTACGCTGAAAAGCATAATCCATCTGCTGATCTGAGTCTTTCTCTCGATCAAACCGGAAGTCCCATGCAGTATGGGCCAAAATACGACCACTGCCTATACGTCGGGTTGGGGCCATGTCTCGATGGCCTACATCTCTGCATTGATCATGCAATGTAAGTTAAAAATATGAGATATGCAAAATGAAACAAGAACAAGACACAGGCATGATCACAAATTATTTCACATTTCTAAATGTTGTGTGTTACATGAACTTTAAGGTGCAGCAGCATCAAAGACTATTTTCACCTGGATGGAATTATGTTACAACTCCTTTAATTTACCCAGGGTAGAATCAAATATAACTATAGACATCTCAAACTGTGAAGGGGACTGAAAGACAAATTGAGGGCAGAACACATCTAAATACTAGAACATCAGAATGTTATGACAGTAATCTTATTGGCTGTCACAAATGTCATGAGGATGAAATGCAAATATGACTTCCTCACAGACATGTAGGACTGTCACACTTCCATGGGTGGTCTCAATGCCTGCAATTTGTTCCCCTGAGTATGGATCACATCATCACATAAGGATGAAGCAAGAGGAAGATGAAAGGACCAATGGCTAAGGCTCCTGAGCATGATGCTGTATAAGCATGGCATCTTCAGCAGCTCCATTAGCAGTCTCAGTGCCAGGAAGAGCTGTGCAGCCAGGAACCCAACAAGAAACAATGGATTTCCCTCCCTTATTGAGTTGAGATACTGTACAGAGAATTTTAGTAACTATACAGTCTGCTATACAAATCCATGTACAGTCTGCAAGGCACTTAAAGAGGTAACATTATGAAGTCTTAAATTACCAATTACAGAATTTGATGTCAAAAGAGAGAAGAGCTTGGTAAATGGTAACAGTCTGACCACACAATTGCCGTTAAAACTACATAGGCAGTATGAGAAAACCTGATCCTGACAGATGAAGGAACATGCAGAACACTGAACAAAATCAACTGCCAGTCTAATAGCCATGTCTTTTGGATATGTAGAAAAGAATTCCACATAAAATGCTGTAGGAAGTGAGTATGTTAACATAATATGGTGTTCCGAATATTGTTCATTTACTTATGAAGTTTTATATTAGTGTGCCTTGATTTTTCCATTCATGTTCCTCCATATCCAATGACCCAGTACTGATGACTTCTTATATTTTGAGCACATGAATTAAATACAAGGGAAAACTGACTGGCTGAGTCAGATGTCCACCCATCTATATTCTTCATCTCTCAAAAATTGCAGTATACACTGAACACTAACAGGAAAGTTTAATTTTGTTTTGGATGGGTCTTATACAGCAGCTGCTTTAATGAAGCTCAAACAGAACTTAACTGACTTTCCTGAATATACAGACCTACTACAAATTAACATTACAACTTTCATTTAAAAGATATATTCTATTTGATAAACAATTAACATAGTGCTAGGTAGACGAATATATGATTCTGTGCAGCTATGAACCACTGATGATTGTCAAATCATGAACCAAAGCTCAACACTAATTTCATTGACATTCCCTCCATGTTTTAAGTGCATCTTTCACCATAAAGAGTACATACAGATTTTGCAGTTACCACATAATTACTGAATATTCAATACAAAAAATCACTTTAAAAATTCTGATTATTTTTAAAATCTATCAAGAAATGGCAACAATATTAACAGAAAAGACATATCACTGGAAAGAGGACAAAATACAGAGAAAATTAAACTGTGGTCTTCTGAATATGAAGGGGCACATCTATCCTGAATACAGAAGCTGCAGGTTCTTCTTCTGAAACAGTAACTATGTATGAAATTACTTGGTGTCATAACTAGGGACCGGATTTTAATGCAAATGCATATTTCTTTCTTGCAACGAGAGAGTATGCTCGTTTGGATATATGTATGAATTACTTCATTTCTTAAATTTTGGACATGGTTTGATGGTGCATATAAATGCATATTTTGCCCGTTTTATGAATAAGCATCATATTTTCGAAGATCTCTATTTATACTGCACATTTCCTTTTTAAAAGTTTATCATATATATTTTTTAATTTTATGTTCAAATTTTCAATCCTGGTCGTGCGTATACAATTTTTCTTTTCCATATCAGAATATACTGCATATCTGACTCAACATTTCGTAATGATTCATGTTTCTGTTGCAGCACCCAGGACGGGACTTCCCCGATCTATCTACTCGTAACTTGCCTCATCCGCGTACCATCAAAGTGGCCACAAAGAGATTAGTCGGAAGCGTTCACATGTAGCCGCTATCAATGTGATACCATTCAACTGATAAGAGACTTCACTTATTTATTTCTGAAGTCTCCATGAGATTCGTTACGCTTCTTCATTTGAAACTGGGGGCCATTCACGAGAAGTTGAAAGTTCGGAGAGCTAAATGTGAGTACCATTGTTTTTTTAAATTTGTAATGAAATATGGTGGTTTTGTTGCATGATTTGTATTTAAGTATAGCTTTTTATTGCAAGTGAATCATTCAGTGATTACATAAAATGAACTTAAATATTGATTTGTTGGTCTTAAAATAATATAAAATCAATTTTAATATTTGGCATAAATTTTTATGTGCATATTTCGGAAGTTTTTCATGCATAAATGCATACATATTTAAGGGATTATTAGGGCATAAAAATCCGGTCCCTAGTCATAACCAACAAAATCTTTCAGGATTAGATTGTGCTGGGCTGATGAACATGCTGTGGACATGGCCAAAGACAATGTTTTTGTATTAGCAGAGATGAATCATTGGTTTCCAAAATGTCACTTAAATGTTTATTTTTAAAAATGTACTTATGTTAAACATAAATATTTACACACTCCAGCTCTAACTACAGCACAATTTTACCTGTCTCTGTCCGTCTTCCCTAGAGGGCTCTCAGCTCGTCTACTATTCTGATTAACATTCACATAGCATCCAGAATTGAAACTTCGGCGCTGAGGACTTAAAACTATACCATCCTGTTCCTTACGAATCCGTTCTCGGGGATCACCAGGTCGCCGCTACAACAAAAAACTGACACTTTTCAACTGTTCTCCTTCTTCTCTTCCTTTTTTAACATTCTGTGGCAGCATGAAGAATCAATGGCATTAAGGATTCTACATAATATTGTGGTGTTTGTGTCTTTCAAAGTATTACCTCAAAATTGCAGCCTCACTGTGTCTATAGAGTGTATGTAAGGTTAATACCTGCAGACTGTGAACTAATGACATATCCATACATAACTCTCTCCTTCTGTTAGCAATTATCAATAACCTACAATATAATTTATTTTCAGAATGTCAAAATTCATAACATGACATGGAACAATGTTCACAGATTTCTGTAGTACTAAATAATTTTTTCTGTCCATCTAACATGCATCACAGTCACAAGATTTCATCTCAAGCCTCACAATATACAGGGGGAACTTTTACTTTGTTGACCGGTTCTGTGGCTCTGCACTTCACAGCGGCTGGTGCACTGCTTGCTGAGAAACACATGAGAATTTTGCCAATGAGTCAGCATGCCTGACGGCCAATAACATTTAAGATGAAGGGAAGTTGTCATCTTCGTTCACAGATCACAGAAGCTGTTGAAAATACGGGACTGTGTGTGTTAGATGTGGATTCTGTGAAATCCAGTAGTTATTATTTTGCATATTTATGTATCTCTGTAGAAATCAACGGCAAAAATAAACCCTGCTAGGTGGATCATGTGGCCACAAGACCAGATTATTGTTGTTTTATATGGTCTAAGCTTTAGCAATTGTGTTGCCCTTCTTGCACTACACTCCGACACTCCAGTCTCTTGAGCTAGACGTTTCAGTGACTTTCTAGGGATACGTTCACTTCCGGCCCCTCTGCAGGCACTTAGTGCTTATGCTTTTTCTCATGTCTATTAAGAGCCCTATTGTTCTCAGTTTATTCATGAATTATGAATTGTTTGTCTGCCGGGAACTATTTCATTATGAAATTTATGCCAAAATTTTCACCAACACTTTATAGCAGGTGTGTACTCATATTTCACATAAGTGTCATGCAGAAATACACACTGCTCTAAAGTATACTGCATCATGATGTACACACTGCTCACTAACTGTAACTGAGAACAAATGGCTAATGGAGCTGATAACTGCTGCCTACTGCTGACAAATCAAGAACAAACTTCCATGCATGGACTGCACTGCTCCCTCTAAACATAGTACCATCATGCAGTCCACAAGTTAATTACTTCCCTTCATTCCGAACATTATCAGCCAACAGACATGCTGATTCATCAGCAAAATCTGTATGCATCTCACAGCAAATGTTGCACCCTTCAACAAATTTAAAAAATCTCTTTGTAGTATCAACACAGAGAACAGTCTAGACAATGTGCAAGACAGACAACTCACTGAAATACAGACACTTCAGGATACCCATAATATAACTGCAACAGTTTATATTTTTGACAATAACTGCTAGGTTTCAGATGAATTTTATGAATGTTCAACCAAGTTTAATTATACTAAAGTACAAAATAAATGTAATTGCATAACACATAATAAAATGGATAAAGAAAATCACATTTTCTTCTGCTTCTTTCCACAAGAAATACTTAGATATGTGGATATGAATTATGCCAATTTGAATTTATGACTTCCTGTGTCATTAATAATTAGTACCTTATGGTCCATTGGGAGGTCTCCACGAACACCACGTTCATCGTCTGGAGGAGTCTCTGATCTCTTCCTGTCCAGATGCCAGCGTTCTGGATCCCAAACTCCACGAGAACTATCAGATAACCCAAGAGACATTCTTAACAGTCAACCTAAGCATTTGGGCACAGGCAAATTAACACACACTGAGTAATAAAACAGATCAGAGATCCCTCATGAGCTACTAGATGGCAAGCCTATATATTTGGCCCATATAAGCGAAACATGGGTAGAAAAAGAGTTAACATTTTCAAAGTAATATATGAAGAGAGCATAGCAAATTTTGGGGATTTTTTTTTGCACTGCCATGCTCGGAGTAAAATTAAGGAACTGACACTGTACACCTGCACACCTAAGTCTAAAGACAAAGTATAAATTTTTGCATTCAAGTGTTTTTGGTGCTATTAAATGTGACAACAGAAAGCAGACATAGGGGAGGACAACACCATATTATAAAAGTTCTCATTCTTGAGAGTTTTTAAAAATGAGCATACTGCTGCACAAAAGAGCACCATGACAATACCAGCTACACCAAAGACTCAAATTTCTGGTAGTCACAGTCATGGTGCCGGTCTTCTGAGACAACATCAAATCATCCAACTTGTTTCCTTCCAAGTGGAATAGTGACTGCCAATACTCAAGGCATAGATGGAGAAACTATCTGAAGGATGATGAGGAGGAGAAGAATAATATCATAAGAAAAAGGAGAATAATAATACCACAAAAAAAAAACACATGGCCACATTAGAAAGCCTGAAAACAATGGGTATTCCCAAGGAAATAGGCTGGGAAATGCTTTTAACTTCTCTATATAATCCAGGAGTTTGAACGCAATAAGCATGTCAGCAGCATATCCATAACCACTTGCAGCATCAAATGGAATCTTCTATGCAGCTAAGTTAATGAAGCTCAAATGACAACTGAAAAATATGATAAATTGTAGGTTGATTACATACAGAAATGTAGATAACAAAGCTCTTCCAACATACTGACACAGCAAAAAAATGAAATCTTCGGATTTACTGCCCACTGTGCTGAAGAAATTATCTCCAGCTCAATGGTTATCTCCAGGAGTTCAATAATTCAGTTCTTAATTCCAAGGACAGCAGCTATCCAGAAAAGCTGAAAAAGCCTCTTGGCTGTGTTTGTCCCTATGTGATAGGTATTTCCCAAAGGTTCACACATATAAGAAATTGTTATAACATTAGGACTATCTCCAAGATACACACATGAGAAAACAGGTGAGAATGAAACCCACAACAGACAGCTTTTCCTGTGAATGTGGCAGAAGCCATGCTGGTGAAACAGGCTGGCTGCTAGCCATGCAGTTCCTTGGAACAGATGCAATCTCACAAAGGGCAGGTTGGGATAAAACCAGGATTTTTCAAAACTGAAAGTAACAATAGGTACAGGAAATACAAGAAATCAGTCCATACAACAACCCAATGGGCCAACACAGTTTGGAAATTTCTTCCATACTGATTCCCATTATGAGCAAGGAGGTTGGCATTTCACAGGGATGTCAGTATAACCTGAAAGTCTTTTCATAAGCGTCTACATGACTTTCACTCCAAGGTTTCAGGGTTCAATTCTGGTCCATACATGGTGATACAGTAGGCAGGTATTGTACAGCATGAAAACTTCAATTTTCTCCTGCATTAGGGTGTCTAGATTTGGTTGTTGGTTTGGTTCTGATACATTGTCTTTTCATAAGCGTCTACATGACTTTCACTCCAAGGTTTCAGGGTTCAATTCTGGTCCATACATGGTGATACAGTAGGCAGGTATTGTACAGCATGAAAACTTCAATTTTCTCCTGCATTAGTGTGTCTAGACTTGGTTGTTGGTTTGGTTCTGATACATTTATTTTCCATTTACTTTCAGTCTTAGTTGTAGGGACTTCATATGCATTTCCACAATTCTGACTGTAAAGTCTCCTACTGAGTCCTGCTGACAAAAGCCTGATTTCAGAAGCATATGTAAGAGTAGTACTCCACAGAGTAGGTGCTTCCCACCCTTCTGCCTGACAATGGAAACAGATCCAGTTTCCATAATGTCATGTTCATTAGAACACTAGATGATGGATAGAGTCTAAAAAACTCAGTAATTCCTACATGATCTGTATTTTTTGATGATGGCATCTCTGACTTTTAGTCTGCCATAAGTAAACAAAAGATAAAATTATCCCTGTGCTTAATTGATTAAGCATTATGCCATAAAGACATATGAGGGAGTGAAAGCATAGCACCTCAACACTAGATGGAGGTGAGTGGTCAGCTTCATACCCCGGACACTTTACCTCCAGTACCCATTAGATAACAGGTTGGGTGGGCTGCAGAACCAGTGTGGATGATGTGGAAAGGAGAAAAATCTTGCCCTTACTGGGACTTGAACTCCGACCCCTTGGCTGTCCAGACCATAGCCAGTCAATACAGGGTTTGTCCGAAAAGTAATGTCAGTTATTTTATTGTGAAGTGACTATATGTCGCAGCACTCTCAGACCGGTTGGGATCGGTGGAGGGGGAAGTCAGCTTATGAACCCGCGGTCGCTTAGTCGTCTCCGAACTTCCTGAGAGTGACGAAAGGCTTTTCCGTGAAACTCGTTTTTGTCTCCCGTGCAAGCCGCAATGCAGCGCTCCTTGGAACAAAGGATTGCCATCATGTTTTGTGTGAAACTTGGCAAGTCTGCAGTGGAAACTTTTCCCATGATAAAGACGGCCTTCGGTGATGATTGTTTGTCGGAATGTCAGGTCTACCGGTGGCACAGGGCCTTTTTAGAAGGCCGTGAAGAGGTCGACGATGAAGCCCGCGCTGGACGGCCATCAACAAGCACCACCGACGAAAATGTGAGTTTGTACTACATGGTACAACCATCAACGCCAAATTCTACATGGAAGTGCTAAAGAGACTCAAACGAAGTGTTTGTCTCATCCGGCCCGACATCGCGGACGATTGGAAACTTCACCATGACAATGCGCCAGCCCACACCGCCTTCCTCGTGACCCGCTTCCTGACCAATTCAAAGGTGCCAACGGTTCCCCAGCCGCCCTACAGTCCTGACGTGGCTCCCCAGACTTCTTTTTGTTTCCGCGCTTGAAAACTCTCATGAAAGGACATCATTTTGGGACAGTTGGCGAAGTCAAAGAGGCTTGCACCAAGGCTCTAAAGGACATTCCGGAGGAGGCCTACCATGACGCCTTCGATGCCTAGAAATCTCGCTGGAATCGATGTATCGACGCAGAAGAAGCCTATTTTGAAGCCTTTTAATGTGTTGCACCGATCTAATCCATAAAAGTTTTTTAATCGACTCACTGACATTACTTTTCGGACAAACCCTGTATACTGACTGCACTTTCCCAGCGCCAGTCTGCCATATACACAATGATAGAGAAAAAGTTTACAGTATACACTCAGACTATAGTTAATCCTTATAGCTTACTTATTGAAAGCAGGATCTAAGCATTCTGGTCTCCTCTTAGACAGTGGATGGGACTGGAATTCCATAAGTTCCTCCTGTAACATAATCAACACTCAGATTTATACTCCATAAATATTCCTTAAAATTAATAAGCATTTACATATCCAAGTAATATATTGTGCTGCAATAAATGTTTGTACCAGAGATTAAACAGTAGCCTGGCCCCAGAATATGGCCAAGAGAAAGCACAGAAATCAGAAATATCAGCCTCAAATACTTTCATCTCTGCTTCAGCAAGCCATGTGACAGAAATATATTATATATTATGCAGAAAATGCTTTCATTCTCTATTTCTTCCTCCATGTGTGGACTGGTTGTTGAGTACTACCAGACTACAAGGAACAAGGGTTTAGAGTGCAAAGGTGATCTAGGTCCACCACACATATTGCTGCTTGGAAACTATTTGGTTTGTAAAGCTATAAATGTGTTATTACAGAGAGGTAAATACATTCAGATTCTCACAATCATATCAATTTCACAGAGGCGTTGAATGCTAGGTAATGTCAAGCACCAATCTCTAACTTGTAATGACAGTCAAGGAAGTGTTGAGTGTGGTGTTTCCTTGTCAGTCTGCAACAAGCAATATATAGCCTGCACACTGAAAAGCAGTATTTCGTTCTCCTGAAGTTATAACACGGAGAGCAATTTGACCAGACTGTGTGCTCTAGTGAACTGTAAAGTGTGGAAGTAGCGATAGTGTTATAGAGGCAGCGAGGATTGTTCAGTGCTAAGTGCTGAGTTGAGACCATCGTATTACACATTTGGCTCTTTCTCGGTATATAAACGTTCAGAACTTGAGGAGCAAAGTGAAAAGTGAGTATCATATCCAAGATGGGGGACATCCCAGTGCTGAGATAAAAAATTTTGGAGAAATGAACGTTCTACACTGAAATCAGAATACCATACATTAGTGCAATATCCCAAAGCATACATACAGTTAAAACAGCACTTTATACGCTGGGTGACATTGATGACATAGTGGAATATACAGCAGCCTTGGTAGGGGAACGGGCTGTCATTGTAGATGCTGTGGAAGAAAACAGAGCTACCTATTGCAAAGCTCTCCACGGAAAGACATATTTTAGTGCCTTGTATGGCATTTATACAGTAACTTAGGACGAGTTAAGTGCCATGCTCAAGGCGAGCACCCTAGCAGACCAAACTAATTCACCAAAAGCCACAGGGCAACAAACAACGCAGGAGGATGGTTTACAAAAAGTACAGAGGCAGAAGCAACACGCCACCAACGAAACTGCCGAACTTCAAAGCGGCAGTGCAGAACAAAAAGTCGCCCACCTTAAACATTCCCCTCCAAAGAGGTCATCACTTGAAACTTTTTCGCCCTCCTCAGGGCAGCGGATATCGACACCAACTCTTCTAGTACCCAGGCCACTTCAAATGAGGAAGTTCCTGGAGAAGCAGGTAGGCCACCTCCAATAATCCTAATGTCTACTACTAACCTGATTCAGTTGCAAAAGCAACTGCAAAGTGTGGCTGAAGAAAACTTTTGAGTTCTGTAGCACTAGAAAAGGAACCAGAGTCATCCCAAGAGGCATGGTAGATTACCAATCTGTCAAATCCCACTTCGACACCAATAACCTGTCCTATTACTAGTTCTAACACCAAATCCTGGGGGTTAGCTGTGACCATGAAAACAGATCTCCAATGTTAGAAGCCACTGCTTAGCAACAAGTGAAGACAGAATAACAAACTGAGAAGACCTAGAGTGTGCTGTAGTGATCCACAGAGGTGGATTAGGGAGAATGTTATAATTATTTGTATTTATGAATCATAAACATTCAACAAATCCAATTATCAACCCACACCGTGTCTAGTCACTAACATGTGACAATATGAATAAAATCACTTTCCTTACACTGCTGCATTCAGTCAAACCAATCACAATGCTGAATTATGTATTTTGGCAAATATATACCTTGAATCAAGCAGGCAAATTGGAGAATTTGAAAACAGAAATACAGAAGAATGAGGTGTCTGTTCTAGGTGTCAGCGAAGTGCGGTGGAAAGGACAAGGTGAAATAAGAAGTGGTGATTATACAGTGTATTATTCTGGAGGTGAACAGGCTGAAAGAGGTGTGGCAATAGTGGTGCATAAAAGTGTAGTGAGGAGTGTTATTAAGAGATTGTTTGTAATGACAGAATTATTGCTCTGAAGTTAAGGCGGAACCAGTAAATGTACTGATTATGCAAGTGTACATGCCAACATCAGAGTATGAAGATGATGAAGTGGAAAAAGTGTATGACACAATTGAAGGAATTCTTCAGGAAGATGGAAGAGGAGACACAAACAGCATCATATTGGGAGACTGGAATAGCATTGTTGGAGATGAACCAATCAGAATATTGTTGGATCACATGGACTAGGAAGACGGAATCACAGGGGTCAAATGCTTATTGACTTTTGTGAAAGAAATGGACTGATTGTNTTATATGCTCAAAGACAAAGCGTGCAAGAGACCCTAGAAGAGAAACTCGGTGCAATTGAAGGTGAAAGCGGAAATGCTGAAGAGCAGTGGAACAATATAAAAGAATGCATGTTAGATACTATCAGTGATTTGGTTGGTAAAGTTGAGAAGATAGCAAGAAAACCATGGGTTACACAGGAGATGATAAGTAAAATGGAGGAGCGAAGGAAATGGAAGAATGTCAACAATGAAGAAGGCAGGAGGAAATACAGGAGACTGAGGAATGAATTGAAAAGAGCCATGGGCAGGGCCAAAAAGGAATATCTTGAGAAGCTATGTAATTAGATTATCGAATTTCAAAGGACAGGATGTTATGATTTGATGTACATGAAGACAAAAGAACTAGGATGGAAAGAGAACCATGGGATTCAAAATATTGGCATCGAAGATTCCCAGGGGAATAGAATAGTAGATCAGAGAAAAGTGCTGACCTAATCGGCCAGAAACCTTGGAAGTGGAACTGGAAGAAATAGACAGAGATGAGAAAGGACCATATATTTTACAAAGTAAGGTGGAAAAAGCTATCAAGGACATGAGGAATGGAAAGGCTACAGGAGATGATGATGTACCTGGAGATGTGCTTAAGTTACTGGGAGAAGGTGGTTTGAAAACACTGACAAAATGAATAAACACCATATATGAAACTTGGGAGTGGCTCAAGGACTTTACAGAAGTGACAATGATTGCCTTAAAGAAAAAGACAAAAGCTACAAAATGCAGTGACAATTGCACAATAAGCCTTATGGAACATACAGCAAAGATACTTAAAAGAACTGAAAGGAAAATAGAGGATATACTTGGAGAGGATCAGTTTGGATTTAGAAGAGGAAAAGGAACCAGGGATGCAATTGGGATGATGGGAATTAGAGCAGAACGAACTTTGGAGATAGATGAAGAACTGTGTGCTTGCTTTATAGACTGGCAGAAGGCATTTGACCAAATTGGACCAAATTAATGCAGATCCTAAAGGAAACAGGTATCGACTGGCGTGAAAGAATATTGATTAGTAAACTGTACATGGATCAGAAAGTTAGAGTGCAAGTGGACAGAGGGGAGACAAGAAGTGTGAAGATNCGTAGGACTGTCATGGCAAAAGCTGCATTTAGCAAGAAGAAGAATCTCTTTACCAGCAAATAGGACTTAAATTTGATAAACCAGTGAAATGCTATGTTTGGAGAATCGCTTTGTATGGGGCTGAAACTTGGACACTTAGGGCAGTAGATCAGAAACACCTGGAAAGCTTCGAAATGTGGTGTTAGAGAAGGATGGAGAAGATCAGTTGGACCAATTATGTGAGAAATGAAGAAGCGTTATTTAGACTCGGTGAGCAGAGGAATATCCTACATGAAATAAGAAAACGGAAGGCTAATTTGATTGGTCATATCTTACGCGGTAACTGCCTTCTAAAAGAAGTTATTGAAGGAAAGATAGAGGGGCGGATAGAAGTGACCAGAAGACGAGGAAGAAGATGTCAGAAGATGCTGGACGACCTTGGGGACAGAGGAGGATACTCTCATTTGAAGGAGAAAGCTCTAGATCGCATTAAGTGGAGGAACTGTTTTGGAAGAGACTGTGGACCTGTCGTCTTGACAGATTACTGATGAATGAATGAGTACATTTAAAATTAGTTTTAAAAAAACTCTGCATTTGAAATCAAAATCTCACAAGTCAATTTAATCGAGTTTTCCAAATTTCAAGGGATACAGAGATGAACGAGAAGATGATTGTGAATCATGAACTGGAAATGATGTTTCATTACTCTCATTAAATGGCGCGTTCAATAAATTAAAAACGAGAACAGGACAATCTCTATAACAAGTTAACAATTTATATCCATCTTAAAAATTTCAGTACCCTGTACTTCAACACTAACATGCCAACTATACTATCCTCATTAGTAACTACATTAATTTATCTCTTTTCAACAAACATATGTATTCCTTCATCACATTACCATCCATTTCTAAAATCAGTAATGCCACCACAAGAAAGGAAAACAAGCATAAGCACAGATGTGATCACTAAGCACTGGAAAGAAGAGGTGAGAGTCTAACATGTAGTTTAATAAAGCCATTCAGCATACTGGGGAAGTTTGTTCCTGAGTGGACCCTCTATGGTGGGCCAAGCAAAATGTTATACACCTCTCTGTACATAAAGTGTTCACAACATTTTACTCTACTTGATGTTCAGCTTGAAACTTGCCCTTGTATATTGGAAATGAGGCAGAACAGGAGTTCCTTTCTGGGCCTCCTCCATCCGATGGTCAAGGGTTTCATCACCCTCCGAAATTGACACTGCCACCTCCTCATCACCTGAAACAGAAAGAACAGTCACATATTTGATGAATTATATCTAAATGAAGCAGTGTTCTCTTATGTTAGGCACAAGAAAGCGAACTTGTCACTATGCAGGTGACCCAGGAATAAAAGTAAGACAGACATCAAGCTAAACACAACATCAATGTGATATATTATGCTAAAACATTACATTTCTTTTCTTCTTCAGCATATAATGTTGGCAATGAAATATGTTCTGACTTCATATATTCATTCCATTTTTTTAAGTTCTTCAATCTCAATATACTTTTGTTTCATATGCTGCAGTCTGTTTCATTATTCATTCATCAGCCAGCCCATCCATAAGGTTTACTGGCTTGACTGTCTGTATCATGAAGTGAGGAGGAGGAGGAGATACAGACCTCAAAGTAGTAGTATTGTGTTGAACAGAGAAAAGTAATGGTAATAAAAAGTATCTCCTTGCTTTAAACCATTTTGAATAGGAAATGTGTCAGACATATATTTACCTATATAGACTTTACTACAGATTTCATTTAAGCACTTTTAACAAGCCTAACTAGTTTCATGGGTACCCCAAACTTGATGAGAATACTGTACAATACTTCCCTCCTGCGTCATAGGCTCTATTGAAGTCTATGAATAGCTTGATGAACTGTCTCACTGTATTCCTAATTTTCTCCAGTATGATGAATGAAAAAAAAATTGAGCAGTATTGGATCTATTATATCAGAGACCACACTGATGATTCTCAGTAACATCATATATGTATGTATGGACTTCACCTTGTAAGAAGGATATTAGACAAAATTTTGTATGAAGTTGATAACAGTGATATGTCTAGATAATTGCTAGTGATATGCTTCAATAATTAATACAGTCAGTTTTATCACCCTTCTTGTTTACTGGTTCAATAACAGACTCCTTCCACTGCTGTGGCAATTCTTCCTTATTCCAAACAGAATTAATGAGTTTGGACCTCAGAACTTAATGTTTCACTTCCTATATGAATCATTTCTACCAGAATTTGATCAATGTCTGGTGATTTATACAACCTTGAAAGGACTAGGCCCAGGTACTAATAATGGCTCAGCTGTATGTACATGTGTATCCATCTGCCTAATATCACTAACCCATGTACATCCAATAGCTGAGTGAATTTTTCTACCTACTCAAAAGGTGGGAATCCACAAGCTGATCACCATTCTCATCCTTACTTCTGGGTTTGTAACCCCCTTTAAATTAATTTATTCTTCTATATAAGTCTCTGGTGTTCTTGTTCTTACTGTTCATTGCAAGTTCATTAATTCTGTCTTTCAGATATTCCCTCTTTTTTGTTCCTGAAATGTCTACTTGCTTCACATCTTGCACTGATCAGATTATCCCTTTTATCTGTCTTGGATTCTGCAATCATTGCAATTTGGCTTGTTTCCTCTGAGGTAATATTTAACACCCTTTGTCGAACCAAGGCTTTATCATCATCATCATCATCATCATCATCATCATCACTGTAACGACAGCCCTTTGTGAGCCCTGGCCTTCCTCAGGATTGCTTGCCATTCTTCTCCATTCGATGCTACATTCCTCCAGTTCTTTACACCCAAAATTCTTATGTCCTGCCACACACATTCTTCCCATCTTAATCTTGGTCTTCCCACTCTCCTATTTCCTTCTGCTTTAGTATTAAACATTTTCTTCATCGTTCTATTCTCGCTGGCACGTATTGTGTGTCCAGCCCATTCAAGCCTTTTCACCTTTATAAATCCAATAATGTCTGGTTCATTAAATAATTCATATAGCTCATGGTTATACCTTTTCTTCCATATTCCATTTTCTTCCACTGGTCCAAAGATATATCTCAAGATCCTCCTTTCAAATATACTTAACAGTCTTTCATCCAATCTTGACAGTGGCCAGGTCTCAGAGGCATAAGATATCACTGATCTTATAAGTACTTTATACATCATAGTTTTGGTTTTCCTGGGTATTAATTGGGATTTCAGGTGTTTCCTAAGGCCATGGACACATTTATTTTCTGCAAGTACACACTTTTTTATTTCATCACTGATATCATTTCTACAGTTAACTTCTGATCCAAGGTAAGTGTAACTACATACAGCCTCAAATTTATATGAGCCAATTTCAACATATGCAGATCCATCAGCACAGTCTTTCTTGGTTACCGGCATGTACTTTGTTTCCTTTTGGTTAATTTGTAGATTCATCNGGCCATGGACACATTTATTTTCTGCAAGTACACACTTTTTTATTTCATCACTGATATCATTTCTACAGTTAACTTCTGATCCAAGGTAAGTGTAACTACATACAGCCTCAAATTTATATGAGCCAATTTCAACATATGCAGATCCATCAGCACAGTCTTTCTTGGTTACCGGCATGTACTTTGTTTCCTTTTGGTTAATTTGTAGATTCATCTTTTTTGCTGCTCTTTCCAAATTAAGAAAAGCTTCTTTCATAGATTTTTGTGTTCTACCAATTATATCAATATCATCTGCAAATGCCAAAATTTGAACCGACTTATAGAATATAGTTCCCCTTGTGTTGATGCCTGCATCTCTACCTTCTCTAATGCTATACTGTACAAAAGGCAGGCTAGGGAATCCCCCTGTCAAACTCCATTTCTAGTTATTATAGGGCTGGACAACATATTCTGAATCTTAATTTGGCATTGGGTCTTTCTCATAGTGGCTCTGACTAAGGCGATTAACTTCTCTGGAATGTGTATCTCTTCCACTGCCAGAAAAAGACTATCTCTATCTATGGAGTCATAGGCTGATTGGCTGATCTCGCTTCATGGTATTCTTCCATGGTCCCTCGAGTATGGTTCCTTTGCTGCATTCTCTTATATGCCTGTTTTTTTTTATTTGTCACTTGCTAACACTCTCCATCAAACCAATTCTTATAACCAAGGCTTTATCCTGCTTCAATTCTCCAATCTCATTACTTGTGTCTAATAAAGCTTCTGGGTTTCTTCACAGCACTTATCTTTTTAGTAAGTGGATTAAATTTATCAGAACGGACCAGAACCTGATATGTCCCATTCAATTCAAATTCCTCGCAATTTTGTGGGCACTTCCTATTGACATATTCTACAGCAATGACCTCACTGCAGAGACCACGGACCACATGCAAACCATATTTTAATTTTTGCATAGCCTTGAAAATGAACATTATAATTTTGTTCAGCAAAACTTGTTCCCTTTTCAGGGTAAGATATTTCCACATTCAAGTAGAGTTCTTGCTTGTCCCTCTCATCTGATCATTTGTAATGGAGGAGAAAGAGACCATAAGGCAGAGTATTTATCATAAAATAATACAATAATAGACACTAGAGCCTAGACCTTGTGTTAATATGATTATGTCACTTTTTGTTATAAACATATATATCTATGAGGTAAATTTCTAAATAAAAGAATATCAAAAAAACACAATCAGACTGACTCACATGCATTTGGTTATCTTCTTCAATTTGGCATTTTAGAGCAACAAGCAACCATATAATATTTTGAAAATATACATAAAAGTTCTGATAATCGATGTAAAATTCAATTAATTCTGCATGCAGTGAGTCAAATTATCCTATTTAATATGATAAATGCTGTGCTAATTAGTTACTTTCAGCAACAGAGTTTCAATGTGTAATAAATTCCCTTAACTGGATCCTTTTTGAAAGAGTTTTTGTATGTTACTATTTTATAAAACAATATATACAATCAATGGGACCCCTTTCCATTACAAAATCAGTAGTTTCTGTTACATTTTACAACTGAAATTTTAGTGTCTTCAATTGCAACTCAACCAAGGCTACTGGAAATCTATTACGGGCCATCAGCAGATTTGCAATGAATAACATATATAAGAGCAGGGATAGTGCAGCTGGTATAGCATCTGGCTACAGGCTGCACCACTATGGGGTCGGAGTTCGAATCCCAGTAGGGTCAAGAATTTTCACTTTACCATGTCATCCAGACCAGCTCTAAGGCCCACCAAGCCTCCTATCATATGGGTACCCGGGGTTATTTCCCCAGAGGTAAAGCAGCCAGGGCATGAAGCTGACCACTCAACTCCAACTAGTGGCAAAGGTCAAGAAAATGTGGGTCTATACATCCACTCCCCCATACACCTTCAAGGTGCTATGCTTAGTTAGGCAACAGGATAACTTTATGTTATATTTTAGCGTCCTGTTGCACTGATTTAAGTCNCAAAGCAATGACAAAAAGTAATGATAATTGAAGCATTTCCTCCTTTCAGAACATTATAAACAGAAAATGCATGAGACAACTATTCATCTTCAAAGTCTTGATCACACATGGTATTAAAAATATCTCAAAATTCTTCCTATTTTTAAGATGACATCTCTCATGAAAAGTTCCTCTTCTACCATCAGCGGAAGGAAATGAAATTTACTCACAAAATGTAACTCTTTTGGTTCAACATGACTGACGAAAGACTCTCAGTCTGCCTTCAGCTGCCAATGAAGGTTGTGCTTCTGTCAAAGAAATGCCTGTTGGAACACTGCGTCGTCTCCGGCTACGGCGATAACGAAGAGGGCCTGGCCTACTCATTTTTACCTGTGTACTTGGTATCACCAATAATGTCAAACTGTAAATTAATCTGGGCGTCCATTACTTAAGTAATGATCACATTCATCTAAACTTCACCTTCATTTGACAAATTCTAAAGTAACGCTTCAAAATTTAATTTATATCACAAAGCAGTGGTTCTCAACCTTTTCTGATGCAGAGACCAATAATATAACAAGTTTTCCAAGGTTCAATACCGTGTCATTGTGCAGTATATGTAACAGTCCAAAAATATAACTATTTCTGCCATACCTAAAAATATATATCTGCAATATAAAAATTAACAGACCTATACAGTGCAGTAGTACTGACTAAGTGGCATATTATAACTTCCTCCAATTTTAAGTTGGTGATTTAACCTCTGATCAGGCACATGTATGGTTAAGTGTGAGGCAGTTAATGTTGTCTAAGTAAGTTGCAATCATTCACGTTTATTATCTGCAATTAAAGTTTATGCATACGGATATGTGAAATAATTTGTCAAACGCATATTCCAAAAATCTGTGATTTGAAATATGATTTGGCCACCCAATTCTCAAAAATTCAGAAGATCACACCAAAATCTCACACCCTCTTCCTCACTATCGGGGAAAGAAGAAAACTGTAGTGACCTGCAACACAACCTATTTATTCCCTAAAACGAAAAAAAAAACAGTAATCGTAAACTGATTTATATACATAACACACCAATTAATATTTCGGAATCGTCAGCGGTCGTGGGACCACAGGTTGAGAAACACTGCCGAAGTGCGCTAATGAAACTACACTATGCAGACACATTAAGCTCAGGATTTGAATTGTACGATTCTGACTCTTGCGGCAAAGGAGTATTGCTAGAACCCCGTTAACTTCGAATTACTACATGAATGCGTCCGAGAAAAAATCAACATACTATTTCTACTGCAGCAGAGTCACGCTTCGTGAATATCACGTGCACATGAAGTGTCAAATTAAAGATGTCCATCAATTATGCTACATCGGTTTCATACCTGTGACGAGAAATATCGATTTATATTTTCAGAACAGCTTCATTTTCGTCGTATCTATAATTCTGAAATGCTTCTTTTTAATTGTAAATTACCCACCATTAATATTCATAAACGTGAATTCAACACAAATCTTTATCATTCCCTTCTTACATTTAAAATCTGCAGATCTAGTCCTATGTAATAATATTCTTTAAATAATGAAGCTGGCAATATAATTAGAATTGTAAAGGCGTTATATTCTATGTACGTGCTAATTCACGCCACAAGTGAATGATCCCTTTATGCAGAATGGATGCCTATTCACGTGGTTTCCTACTGTCGGAAAGGCTGTTATAAAAAGTTCAAAATAACTATTCACCAAAAAATACGCAATCATTAATGATTACATGCAATTAATCATACAAGAACATAAAAAATAGTAACTAAAACACTTTATCATACAAAAAGATAGCACCGCTCCTTACAAACCCGATTCTTAAAAGGCAACTGACATTTCAGAGCTAGGGATCGCTAGGGATTATGGTGGCGGACCCTACACAGCGATTGGATGAAACTGTCTTAAACGCGAATTAAACGAATTTCATTCGCCCACTATACTGTTCGGTGAAGAAATGAATTAAGACAGCTAGAGACATGGATCGCTACGGACGACTTTTAACGCTGTAAAAATTACATAGCTTCGGTAAATATCATCGCGAGGTGAGTATAAGTAACTATTCTATTTTCATTTGGCCCCCTCAGATGCCTATCAATATAAAAAATGTGGCATTAATAAACACAAAAGCAAAATCGTGTAGAATCGAAATACGAAGTACTAACATCTAAATAAAACGTCTCGAACACAATACATTGACTGGAAAATAGCAACTCTGAAGTGGTCCTCAAAGTGAGTTTAAGGTAAAGTTTTTCCTGGTTTAATACAGTATCTGGGTACTGGTCACGAAGCGCTCGAAATCTGTAAGACGTGGCCAAACGACGATGTTTATCCCTGCCTCCACTACCGGCATGGTTCATGCAGATAATCCCATTTATACATGCGATGAATCAGCATTGGGTTCAGTACGTTTTATTATAAAACAATAGCTTACTATTTCATAGTTATTTTCGAATACATTTATCAAGGCAAACTGCATGCATGACACACAAGATCAATTATGTCTACCTAACAAAAAATTATGAAAGACGTGCAAGATTTATGTACGGTTCAATTTGTTCCTGGATATAGTACTTTTCATTCATACCCGAGCAATTTAAAATCACGAACTTTTAATGAGATAACACATTATGGAACGTTGTTTAAGTTCCAAGCTGAGGAGAGGATGAGGGTAGCTATTGACCCAACCTGTTGCCGGCCTACAAATTACCATGTTATTCTGAGCTCTGTCCCACCTTCAGAGTTTTAGAACATACCAAAATTTGTGAACATGTGAGAAGTACGTTCACTAAACTTACACTGTGGGGCACGCGGTAGCATAGTTGGTTGGGGCACTATGCTAGGAGCCGGAAGGTCGTGGGTTCGATTCTGATGAGGTAATTGGATTTTTTTTCAAGTTACCTAAGCCTTCAAACTTCACTATGGCCCTGGGGTCGATCAGCCTGTAACAGAAATAAGTACCAGGAATCTTCCTGGGGACAAAGGATGGCCAGCATCATGTAAGGCTGACAACCTTACCACTATCTGCGAGCCCAATGTCTAGAAAATGTGGGAGCCTTGACATCTCACAACAACATCCTACGGTCTTTCTGACTAACATAAGGACCTATGGAATGCTATATATATGTATGTATGTATGTATGGGCCTTCATGGCCTGTTACAAGGCCATTATATTTTTAAAGTAACATTATTTATATTGAGTTCACCTTTTTCCCTATGCTATACCATGCTACTTTTGTGAAGAAAAAAATTGCCTAACTTTCCACACTTCTGACATATTTAGGGTGATATCTGGAATATTCCAAGGATATATTATAAACTAAAAGAACTGTAACATTCATATACAGTTATGAAGGTAATGTTGTCCCTGTGCTCAATTAATTGAGCACCACACTATGAAGATGTACTGGAGAGTGGAAGTATAACTCTGCCATCCTCGACCTCAGCACGAGATGGAGGTGAGTGGTCAGTTTCATGCACCAGCCCCTTAACCCCCAGGAAAACAGCCATCGGTACCCACTGGATAGGACACTGGGTGAGCCCCAAAGCCAGTCTGGAATGCTGTGGAGTAGGGAAAAATCTCTTGCCCCAGCTGGGAATCTAATCATGGCTGTCCAGCTAACTGTCTCTCATTATATCAACTGAACTATCCCAGCTAAGGGTTTCTATAGTGCCACAAATGAGAAAATCTGTGTTCATAATATCTACAATCTTCTAGTTGGAGACAAATATTAATACTTAATGTAACTTAAGACCAGAGGAAAATGTTTCTCAAGCTTATCATTTAAATGTGTTCAACTCTGGCCTCTAATATAACACCAGTGAGAAGGAAGCATTGCTTTCGGTACTGTTGATAAATTAAATGTTAATGAGAAAACAGGCTATAGTGGTCAGGATCAGAAAGAACCTGATATAGCCAAACTACATCTGATATTAAATATGCCTATGCTATGGCAGAATTTTGATAATTACAATGTATTCTTTCAGCCTTCGTTATCATCTGCTCTTCTCCTTGCTACTTCATGTAAAAATAACATTGTCCCTGTCCTTAAGAACCATGCAGAGAGGACATGGAGGAGTGAAGGTAAACATCCACACATTCTTAATTTTGACACTAGATGGCTGCCTTACCCCTGGAGAAACAGTCTGCAGTAACCACTGAATAGGAGGATGGGAGGATCCCATAGCCAGGCTGGGTACAGCAGTGAAGAGAAAAATCCATTTTCTTCCAGAAATTAAATCTGATTATTCTGCCTGCATCCAGATACTTTACTGACTGAGCTAACCTGACCCCTATTTTAGCCAAATGCAGACTGCCCTTCCCTTGTTATAGTCTAGATTACATTGACATTACTGTACTAATTTTTCTCTTGGAATAACATATAAAATACAGATGTCAGGATGAAAAGTATCCAAAATAATTATATCTCAGAAAGCATTTATTATACACATTTATGGGTTACACAATTACAAAGGGAAAATATCACAGTTTTTTTCTGAGTATATAACTTTCTCAGAAAATTTCACTGTGGGTTCCCTTGGTGGCACACCAAATATCCAGATGATATTCGACATCATTCCACTTTGCTTGAAGCATGTTTGGTGTTACCATAACCACAGCGTCCTTTATGAGGGCTTTCAGGTGTTGAAGGTCATTGATCGTAACCTGGTAGACAATGTTCTTTACATAACCCCACACGAAAAAATCCATTGGGGTTAAATCTGGCGACCTAGGAGGTTAAATGATTGGTCCACCCCTGCTGATCCATCCCCGAGCTATCTCTCTGTCCAGGTGATTCCTAACATGGTGGCAGAAATGTGGTGGTGCCCAATCTTGTTGGAGGATAGTCCGAGGTGGTAATTGGGGCAGTGCACACAGCTCCAGCATGCCCAAGTATGACCATCCAGTCAGTCTTTTCCAAAAAGAAAAACGGTCCAATCAACCTGTCGTGCATTAAGCCAGCCCACACATTCACTCTAGGACTGCCTCTCTCCAACTCACATGTGGAATGTGGATTCTGACTGCCCAAAATCCTGCAGTTGTACCTGTTTACTACTCCAACATGGAATGTCACCTCGTCCAAGAAGCAATCAGGCAATGTGTCAGTTCTTTCTAGCATGTCCACAGCAAAGTTTGTGCATGCTACTTGGACACTTGGTTTTAGTGCATGAATCATTTGAATCTTGTATGCTCTACGAGAGAGTCTTTTGTGTTGCACATCATGAACTGTTGAATGTGGAATTTGTACATAACTGCAAGCTAGCAGCACGAATTGATTTGCGCAGACTTCACTGGAATGCCTCTTCTTGTAATGGGATCAACATTTTTTTCAGAGGCTTGTGTCTTTCCAGGAGACCTACCCATAGTCCTCAGTTTGTTGTCCGAGAACTGAATGCTTTTCCATGTAGGAGGCTGATGCCCATATGTACTGCATTTTAAAATGACGCTGAACAGCTATAAGAGATTGCAACTCTGCTAGCCACAACATGCACTGGACTTGTTCCTGTGGTGTCGACATCATTACTGAGCTCACCGAAGGTCACAAGCTGGCACATGCACGTAAGCCAGGCATAAAAAAAGAACTTTCAGAGTTTTCCTTTCTGATGACATAAACCAGATAAGTGTATGACAATTAATTTCCAAGATATAAATTCTGTATTTTGGATAACTTTCATCCAGACATCCCGTATATATAACCTTTAATATATTCTTTGTCAACACAGCACTACTTCCAGAGAGGGGTTACCATCTAGGGACATGTTTTTATGCATGTGTGCTATCCTCTGGTCATGTTTGTGGTTACAGTTAATCATACAATTAGTATAAAAAATCTACGTTAAGTGTAAGTTAAATCAACTGTAATGATAAACAAGGCCTGAAGATTGTGCACATATACCAAAATGTCTTAGACAACAACTCCATCAGTAGTGATTTACGCAGCATGAGGCAACAGAACATGAAATCATCATATATAAAGTTCACATGCAAATCTGCCAACTTTGAAAAAGGAAATTGTCTTTTGTGTGCATTTATTATTTTATATCACTAGAGTGACAATACAGTCAACTCTCGATTATCCAGGGCTTTTTTGAGGCATATATAAAGTTCACATGCAAATCTGCCAACTTTGAAAAAGGAAATTGTCTTTTGTGTGCATTTATTATTTTATATCACTAGAGTGACAATACAGTCAACTCTCGATTATCCAGGGCTTTTTTGAGGCATATATAAAGTTCACATGCAAATCTGCCAACTTTGAAAAAGGAAATTGTCTTTTGTGTGCATTTATTATTTTATATCACTAGAGTGACAATACAGTCAACTCTCGATTATCCAGGGCTTTTTTGAGGCATATATAAAGTTCACATGCAAATCTGCCAACTTTGAAAAAGGAAATTGTCTTTTGTGTGCATTTATTATTTTATATCACTAGAGTGACAATACAGTCAACTCTCGATTATCCAGGGCTTTTTTGAGGCATATATAAAGTTCACATGCAAATCTGCCAACTTTGAAAAAGGAAATTGTCTTTTGTGTGCATTTATTATTTTATATCACTAGAGTGACAATACAGTCAACTCTCGATTATCCAGGGCTTTTTTGAGGCATATATAAAGTTCACATGCAAATCTGCCAACTTTGAAAAAGGAAATTGTCTTTTGTGTGCATTTATTATTTTATATCACTAGAGTGACAATACAGTCAACTCTCGATTATCCAGGGCTTTTTTGAGGCATATATAAAGTTCACATGCAAATCTGCCAACTTTGAAAAAGGAAATTGTCTTTTGTGTGCATTTNCTAGATATCAAGTTCTAAGCCTTCTAAATTTCACAGATTATCTCCATAAATGTTGTTCCTCATGTATTTACAGATAAAGTCATACATGTACAAATCCATGCAGCACACGAAGACCTGTCTCTTACACATCAAACACATCCATCATAACTTGAATAACAGCAGTCACCAAGCTCGCAGTGTGGACTGTTCAAAGGAGAGACCTACAATAATTCTACTGGCTGCCACCATTCAGGATACTACAGTCAGTTTTCAAGACGTGTCTCCTTGGTGTATCACTGTTAAGTGCATTTAAACATGTTAAATGTTAAGACTACTTTCGATAGCTCCTTTATGACCAAGATATTAATTTATTAACAAAGTTTTATTCACAGACATCAATTAAGTACCTGCAGGAAAGTATTCTGTATTTTGCAGCCATGTCTGTGTAGTGGATTGTATTTCTGTTATACAATATTTGGTTCACATACTTTCACTTTGTAACATGAGAGGAGAGGCTTGGAATACTTAGGTGCAGATGAGAGGGTAACATTAAAATGGATCTTAAAGAAATGCAGTGACAAGATGAAATATATTCGTTTGGCTCAAGATAGGGATCAGTTGTAAACATGGTAATGGGTCTTCACATTCCATTAGTAAAACTGGAAATTTCCTGCCTAGCTGAACTCCTTAAGGACTCTGCTTCATAAAGTTAGTTAACTGTATCCTTGCATAGGTACATAGTTTGACCTGGAATAGCTCAGGCAGATTAGTGATGAGCTCTGGACTGAACAGCCAGGGCAAGACATTTTTTCTCTACTACACAGGATCCAGGTCAGCTCTGAGGACCACTGTGCCTCCTATTCAGTGGATACTGGGAGTTCTTTCCCTGAGGGTAAAGCAGCCAGGGCATGAAGCTGACCACTCACCTCCATCCAGTGCCAAGGTCAAGAGTGGTGGATCTATACCTCAACTCCTCATATGTCCTCATGGTGTGGTGCTTTATTAGTCACAGGAACAACTTTATCTTTTTCACCTTGCATAAGTAGTCTTTGCCAACTTATCACTTCTTACTGTTTCCCATTTACAATATTTACAAAATTCAAGGAAAGTATCTTCATTTATTACTGCTTACAGAATAAATACAAGTAGATTCTGGTTTCTAGAATACCAGACGATTGACGAAGTCCAATCTGAGATTAAAAAGTAAGTAAAAAGTACAGGTATCTCTGTAACAGGCCATGGAGGCCTATAGTGTTGTGAGATGTTGTGATTCCCACATTTTCCAGACAATCAGCTCATAGATGGCAGTAAGGTTGTCAGCCTCACATGCCGGCCGCCCTTCACCCCCAAGAATATTCCTGCTACTCATTTCTGTTAGAGGCTGAGTCGAGCCCAGGACCACAGTGTGGCCAGAAGGATTATGTCAATTGAAAAAATCCACCTCACTGAGATTCGATCTCATGACCTTCCAGCTTGTAGCATAGTGCCTCAACCAACTACATTACCACCCATTAAAATGTCAGGTTGTAGGTGCCAAATTTATTGAACTGAATTGAATTGAATTTATTTACATTCTATAAATCNTTATATTTATTTATGCAAACCACACAATTTCAAATGGAACTACTGTTGACAAATGAGTGCATCCAATATATAGTTATGATCAGTATTAATACTGTATCACAGTAACCTGTTACTACAATGAAAACGGGAATTACTCATCAGCACAGGACACATGGACACACAGACAAGGGCATATCCCAAAAAGTGAAATTATGGACGGAAGCACAGAATTTTCATCAGCAATTTTAGAGGCACATGAAGATGACCAATGGTCGTTGAAACATGTAGTGTGCATATACCACTAATGCACAAGAGATTTTAAAGGTTTAAAAAAGCAAGTTGCACGTGAGATGGATAGTAACTAAGAAGAATAAATAAGTGATCAGTATATTTAAAATATTTCACTTCAGTGTACCATATTATTTATGAATAGGGATTAATTTAGTGTTGAGCCCTTTCAACTACCACAAACCACACACACAAGTAAGAGGATAAAAACAGTATCAGTAGTAGTAAAGCAGTAGTAATGATAATGATTATGATGATGATGATGATGATGGGGCTCCAAGTCTGCAGCACTTAAATCTACGTACTAGTTACTTAACAAAATCCAGTTGCTCATACATTTACAACGAGACTAAAATACATTCACTTGTGGCAAGTGATTAACTATATTTCTGGAAGGATGATGTTGATGCCAATTGTCACATTTCCTGTTGTTTCCGTGTACTTCTACCAATGAAAACATATGTAAATTAACATTACCCATATAATGGTGACGAGCAGCTTATTTATAATCAACAACTAAAAAAGGTATTCCACCTTCTGAACAGCAGAAAATACCATTTCCTGGAATTCAACAAATGGAAGGCAGATCATAGTCTTTGCTCAGAAAATATGATACTTGCAACTTACTTACTTTTGGAGCTGAGCCCTTCTTGAGGAGAAGCCAAATCTGCAGCTACTCAAGAATTTCCCAGCATTTTATGGAATCCAAAGGTTCATTACCGTGTTCACAAGAGCCTTCTACTGGTCCCCATGCTGAGCCAGATCAATCCAGCCCATCCTATAAGATCCATTTTAACATTGTCCACCCACCTACGCATTGGTCTTCCGAGTGGTCTCTTTCCTTCTGGCTTTCCCACCAATATCCTATATGCATTGCTTTTCTCCCCCCCCCCATTCATACTACATGCCCTGCCCACCTCATCCTCCTTGACTTATCATTCTAATTATACTTGGAGAAGAGTACAAGTTATGAAGCTCCTCATTATGCAGTTTTCTCCAACCTCCTGTCACTTCATCCCTCTTCAGTCCATCTATTCTTCTCAACACCCTGTTCTCAAACACCCTCAGTCTACGTTCCTCCTTTAATGTCAGAGACCAAGTTTCACACCAATACAGAACCACAGGCAAAATTATAGTTTTGTATATTCTAATTTTTACGTTTTTGGACAGCAGATGAGAAGACAAGAGGTTCTGGACTGAATGGTAGCAAGCATTACCCGAGTCCAATCTCCTCTTAATTTCCTCCTCAATCAGGTTTGATCTGTTAACGTCATTTCAAAATATCTGAACTGTGCCACATTTTTAAAACCTGTTTTCTATTGTTATGTCATGATTTTGTCCTGCATTTTGGTGATGAGACAGCAACACATACTTAGTTTTCTCTGTGTTTACTTTTAGACCAACCTCCTTACTTGTATCAATTAAAGTTTGTGTGTTTTTCTTTATTATCTATATTATAACCGAGTAGATTCACATCAACATAGACCAATAGCTGATGTGTTCCATTTAATTTCAGTCCCACTTGGTTTTCCTGGACCTTCCTAATGGCATATTCTAAAGCAAAGCTTAAAAGGAGTGGCGACAAAGCATCTCCTGTATTAGACCATTCTGGATAGGAAATTTATGATACTTCCAACTAGAAGCCAAAATTCTAGTTACTTTTCTCAAGGGCAATATGAATCTGATGATAATTTGGAATATGGGTTATCTATGAAACAATGTGCAACCCTTACGTAATGTTAAACAAATGTTCTTTCACTGTAGCTTTCAAGATTATTGTTTTGAATGAGTCTCTTTGAACTGGGAAACACAGCAAAGCATGGCTGGCGTTAACTTGCAGATGTGATTACTACCGCACACACTCCAATTCTATCACACCCATATTCTGCGATTACAACATAGGATCAAAGAAGTTACAACAGCAGTTAAAATCCCTTAGGTTTGTTTACTTTAAGCAAATCTGTATTATGAGTACGGTTAGTTCAGCTTAGATGTTTTTAAATTGGCTAGTAATATTTATGTTAAAGTATTAAAAGGTGTGTTCATGACATGATGAACTTTAGAATTCCTTCTTATCTTCCAACAAGATTACTTGATGTTTGAACATGTTAACGATACATTTTCTCGAGCTATTAAATTGTTGGATTTAGTTTGCATTGTAACATTTTCTTTTTCTTCCCTTGACTGTTTACTGATATTACATTTTATGTTGGTAAGATATAAGCTAGACTACTGTTCCGCTGTACACACCACATCCAGTATAAGTTTGTAGCCCTTTATTATAACTGTCTGTTTCACCCACCACGTTCTTTGCAGTTTTTTTTTTGCTAGTGGGGTGGGACTAAGTCCCTTGTACTGCAGCCACTTCTGGCCTATTGTACGAGCCCCAGATGATAGGTGAGGGTGATTGTGGAGCAATTGGTGGAATGAAGATTGGCTGGGAAAACCGAAGTACTTGGAGAAAACCTGCCCCAGCACCACTTTCTCCACCACAAATCCCACTTGACCAGATTCAGGATCGAACCCAGGCTGCTGCGGTGGGAAGCTAGTGACTAACTGCTTGAGCTGTGGCGTGGCCCTTCATTGCAGTCATACTAATCCCTTGGATTGCTTAAAATTATGCAAAAGTGTGGGGTACCATCAGTTTAATGCAGTTTTCCATAAACAGTCACTAGAGTTTTACATTTTGTCCTTCCCTTTCAGATATACTTGGTCTTTTCTCTCTGTACTCAGGATCTCAGAATCTTCAAGCAAAAATTGTCCTGCTACATGTGCATCATGTTATCTGTAGGGTGTTAATATATTCATAAAAGAAACTGCTTCTCATAATCATAGTTTACGAGGGGGTACCCAAAAGAAACCGAACTTATTTTTTTTAAACTTATTCAAATTTTAACCACAAACCTTCAATCCCCTTCAAAGTACTCTCCACTTACACTAATACACTTGTCTAGTCTTTTATTCCATTTTTCAAAACACTGTCTAAATTCATCTTTTGAGATG